CCTGGTCTACAGACTCCCGCCTTGGAGATTTCTGACCTTGGCTTTCCTGGTCTACAGACTCCCGCCTTGGAGATTTCTGACCTTGGCTTTCCTGGCCTACAGACTTCCGCCTTGAAGATTTCTTGCCTTGGCTTTCCTGGCCTACAGACTTCCGCCTTGGGCATTTCTGACCTTGGCTTTCCTGGCCTAAAGACCTCCGCCTTGGGCATTTCTGGTCTGAGCTTCGAGTATCTAGTAGGGATCTTTTGGGGGAGTGATAGCTTTTTGTTTGTTTTACAATGGAATTTCGCCTCGAGTATTTCTTAGCATGGAGGTCAACTTCCCATACATGGGTCTGCAGCATGACTTCTGATCTAATGTCTTGGTATAGCACATTTAGAAATTGCTCATCTGTGGACTTTGAAGCACAAACAGAGGTTTGTGTTGAAACCTCTTTGGATGCTGTATTTTGATCGAGTGTGTCTTGGGTTGTGGAGTATTCAGATGATGTGTCATGGAGTGTCAAGACAGGCAGCTCTGTGATATGATGTGCTTGGTCTTCAGATAGTAAGCTTGGGGGTGGTGTGTCTTGGAAAAGCAAAATTTGCTCTGTAGGAACAAGGGGTCCTTCAATTGTTGAGATCTGGAGTCCTGAGACTTGATGCGGCAGGGCATGGGATGGCAAGTCTTGGAAAAGCAAAACTTGTACCGTAGGAACAAGGGGTCCTTCAACTACCTGGGCTTGAGCTTCTTGGATTTGAATTGGTAGAGGATGGGATGGCAAGTCTTGGAAAAGCAAAGCTTGAGATGAGCAAACAAGGGGACATTCAACTACTCTTGCTTGGCTGTCTTGAACTTGAGCTGGCAGGGATTCAGGTAGCACATCTGGGTTAAACAAAACTTCCGTTGTTGGAACAAGTGGCCCTTGAATTTTCAGGGATTGGGATTCTATTAATTGAGATGGCAGGGCATGCGACGGCATCTCTTGGGAAGGTAAAGCTCGCAATTTCTGGAAATAGGACTGTGCTGAGTGGGATGGGAAAACCTCAAGTGGTATTGTTCGGGCCTCGAGCAATTGGATTTGCCTTGATGGGGCGGGTGCCAGAGCAGGCTGCGGGTCTTCTGTTTTCTCTGGTTGAATGATGGGAAGCTTTTCCGAGGACCCCTTCTCAGGCAATGGTGTCTTTTCCTGGTGTTCAGCTGCCACAGGTACAATTTCCTGTGATTGTGGCCTTCCTGAGACTCTTAACCTGAAGAAAGTGTATCCTCCAAAGGAAAAAGCATTGGTGTTTGTTGTTCTGTCGTTAGGGGAAGATTCTTGCAGCTCAAACCGTATCTGAGCGTTTGCTCCCGGGGCAGGTTTTTCATTATCTTCAGTTGTATCAGAAGGCAAGAAAAACACAATCTACAAAACCAAGGAGGGGAGAGGAATGATTAATACCCAAAAAAAGCATCTTTGGTATTCTTTTCTTCTTGTATTCCTAACTTGTTTTTTCATCTGTCTTTAACAACTAGAAAATAGCATCTAGATTAGGAAATAAGATATAAACATTACTTCTGCTCTGACCACCAACACATTGGTTTTATTTTGGACAAGTTATCTGTTATCGTTTATTATCTAAAATATTCAGTGTTAGTTGTGGTTATTAGGGACTGTTGAGTTGATTGAACTCATAGTGGCCCTCTGTCCAACAGAATGAAACACTGCCCGGTCCTGCACCAGCCTCACAATGGTTACATTGGAGCCCGTTGTTGCAGCCACAGTGCCAGTCTATCTTGTCAAGGGCCCCCCTCTTTATTGATGCCCCTCAACATTTCCCACCATCACTTTTCAATAGAGACATAAAGAGGGAAATGTAAATATTATTTTCTGAAATATTTCTTCCATGCATAATAGTATGCAAATTTTAAGAGATTTTAAAACAACCACTTAAAAGTTCATATATTTAGTTTTAATTGATGTTTATTCCTCATAGACTAGATAGATAAGTTTGATGCTAGGTGGCAGAGATAATTAGATGGCTATCTAATTATCATTTATGGGCAGATCAACGTATAGATAGCAATACAATTAAGCAAATATTATTTTAAAAATAGATACTACATTTTTTTCTTTTAAACCGCTTATTTAGCATTTCATACACATACCATAGAATTCAATAGTTCAATCATATCAAGAAGAGTTGCACAATCATTGCCACAATCAATTTTAGAACATTTTCTTCTTCCTTGTACTTGTTATTAGTATACTTTAAAAAAAATTGTGACAAAAATATGCACAAAACATTCTCCAATTCAACAACTTCTACATGTATAACTCAGTGCCATTGATTATACTCTTTGTGTTGCGCAACCATTATTGACATCGTTTCCAAATTATTGTACCACCGTTAACATAAACTCAATGCTCCACCCACCCCCACCCCCAAGGAAAAACACTTTCTCTTTCACCCATGGTAATCATGGGTGCACTGTAGTTTCTTTTATTTTTTTAATAGGTTTCTTGATATAAAATTCACATATTATCATACACTTCCATAGTTAAGTTGCTTTTCAAAAGAATTGTATATACATCATTATAATCACTGCTAGTGCTCTCTCCCACGGTACTATCTATTTTATGGAAGCATCGACGATGACATAATTCTGAGACGGTCAAGAATAAATTCACAGAAGAGGTGACCTGTGACCTTTACTTGATGAATGATTCAGTGTTCTTTAGGCAGAAGAACTAATATGAAGCAAGGAGTCAAAATCAAGGTAGCAGAAATAGTAAAAGCAGTAAATGTGAACGCTACACTCATGAATACAGGTGAGGTATTGCGCTGGTCAAATCTGCTGCACAAAGCTTGTTTAAAGTTTTAATATGCAGCGATATCACATGATGGCTGCATTGTCATGCAAAGCTGGGCAATGAAAAAAGAAAATTGATGCTTTTGAATTGGATGCTGGTGAAGAAAATTAAATATACTGGACTGCCAGAAGAATGGATAAATTAGCCTTAGAAGAAATACAACCAGCATACTCTTTAGACTTCCATCTTGTTTCTTTTGGACGTTTGCTTCAGGGTGACTAAGGTGCTATAGTAATGGAGTTCACTGCACTTTAAACAAACAAGGCTGGAACAACTGGATATGTCCATGGGTGTGGGGCATGAACTTCCAACCCTAACTCACCCTTTCCCCAACGCTTTACTCCATATACATGCTAAAGAAATAAACTCACTGCCATTGACTTGATGTCGACTCATAGTGACCCTATCGGACAGGGTAGAATGGCCCTAAGCGTTTCTGAGACTGCAACTCTATACTCGAGTAGACAGTCCTATCTTTCTCCCATGGAACAGCTGGTGGTTTTGAACTGCTGACTTTTCAGATAAGAGCCCAATGCGTAATCACTATACCACCAATATTATAGACATAATAAAAAAGTTAAGTCTATAAAACTAGTAGAAGAAAATACATTGGAAATTATTAATGATCTTGATAGATAATTAGAAAATAAAATTTATTAGAAAATAAAAATGATAATTCATAGAATGAAAAAATAGATAAATTGTACCTCACCAAAATTAAAAACCTCTTTGAAGTATAGTATTAAGAAAGTAAGTAGGCATGCTATACACTGGAAAAATATCAGCATTACTTATATCTGAAAAAAGTTTATGTTAACAATCATTTAGTTTCTTGCAATGCAATCATGAGAAGATAAAGTATCCAATAAAACTGATTAATGATTTCAGACACATCTCAAAAAGATATACATATGGACAATAAATACATAGAAACATTCTCATTGTTATAAGAAAAATGCAAAATAAAACTGGATGAGAAACCACTACATACTCATTACAATGGACGAATTATTAATACAACAGGTAATTCCAAGACTTGATGAGAATATTGAAGCAACTGGAACTTTCATATGTTGTTGATGAGAAGGCAAAATAGTACAGCCACTTTGGAAAACTGTTCAGCATTTTTATAAACAGTTAAAGATACACTTAAAAAATATGGCCTTGCAATTGGATTCTAAATAGTACAACCCCAGAGAAATGAAAACATACATTCATAAAAGACTTATATTGAAATATCCATAGAAACTTTATCGGTAATAGAACTGATAACAAACTAAACACTCATTAGAGGTGAATGGATAAACAACTGGTTGTTGTTGGTGCCATGAAGTTGGCTCAGACTCATAGTGACCTTACACACAACAGAATGAAACACTGCCCGGTTCTCCGCCTGTCTCACGATTTGTGGTGTGCCCATAAAGGGGAAGCTATTTGTAAACTTCAAGGAATGAATTATTAATGTACTCATCACCAGGATTCAATCTAAAAGAATTGTTTCTCAGTGAACCAAGCCAGACACAGAAGAGGACTTAGAATGTCATGCATATGAAATTCCAAAAAATCAAAACTTAGGTATGGTGACAGATGATATTGAAAATGAAGGGGTTTAAAGGAACTTTTGGAGATCTTGCTATAACTCGGTTGTGATATAACCAAAAAGGTGTATATAATTAGCCAAATCTTATTGAACTGTGTATATAAAATGGGAGAACTTTATTTTTTTTTAAGATAAACTTCAATAAAGTTATCTGTTTATACCAAGGAACCCATGTGGAACAATGGTTAATCACTTAGCTGATGACCAAAAGGTTGGTGGTTTGAATCTATCAGCTGCTTTGTAGGAGAAAAGGCCTGGCGATCTGTTCACATAAAGATGGTTGCCTAGAAAACTCTATGGGGTTGTTCTATTCTGTCATAAAGAGCTGCTAAGAGTCAAAATCAACTTGAATACACACACACACACATAGACAATAACAAATTTATACTTAGTTTAAAAATAAGGAAAGGGTCCTGGAACTCTTATTGTATAATATTAGAGAAGTCATGCAACTGATCCGGGACTTAGTTAGGGAGCTCCGGTGGCACTTCCCAGTAAGCACTGGACTACTAACTGCAAAGTGGGTGGTTCAAAAGCACCAGGTACTCCTTGAGAGAACCTTGAGGCCATCTGCTCCAATAAAGGTGTACACTCTCTGGAAACCTACATAGGGTTGTTATGCACCAGAATTGACTGAAGGGCAGTGGGTGGGGTCTTGGTTCCACCATATGTTGGATAGAATTTTATTAACTTTATAAGGTTTTGTAAAGTTTTATTAAATTCATACAGTTTTGCTCTACTACTTGTCAGTTTGGCGTCCTGTGGTGCAGGTTGCCGTGCTGCTGGGGGCTATGCCATCAGTATTACAAATACCTGCAGAGCCACCCAAGGTGAGCAGGTTTCAGCAGAGCTTTCTGAGTAAGAACAGACTACAGCGAAGGAAGAAGCTGTACACTTCTGAGTAATCAGTCACTTATGCACAGCAGCAGAACATTGTCAGTGATAGTGCCAGAAGATGAACACTTCGCGTCAGAAGGCACTACAGTGTCTTCTCAAAGTAGAGTCGACCCTAATGACACAGATGAAGCCAAACTTTGAGGACTTTCATTTGCTGATGGGCATGACTCAAAATAAAACGGAACTGTCTGTAAACATCTATTCATCAGAATTTGGAATGTATGAAATAAAAATCTAGCAAAATTGGAAGCCATCAGTAATGCAAAGTATGGATTTGCTGAAGATCATTCAACAACAGTTGCAACAGTACGTAAGACAGGATATCAAGCTGGATATCCTAGGTATTAGAGAGCTCAAATGGACTAGCAGTGACCATTTAAAATCAGATAATAAGATAGTTTACTATTCCAGGAATGAAAAATTCAATAGAAAGGGTGCACATGCATCATCAAAAAATACATTTTAAGGTCTATGTCGAAGAACAATATCTTTGTGATAGGACACTATCTATACACATGCAAGGAAAATCAACTAATATACCATATATACTCGAGTATAAGTTGACCCGAATATCAGCCAAGGCCTCTAATTTTACCACAAAAACTGCATTAAAAATGTGTGGAAAAACTCGGCTTATACATGAGTATATATGGTAATCATTATTCAAATTTAGGCACCAACCACTAAAGCTAGTGATGAAGAAACTGAAGAATTATACCAAGGACTTCAGTCAGAAATTCATCAAACATAGAATCAAGATGTATTGATAGTTATTGGTAATTGGAATGCAAAAGCTGGAAACAGAGAAAGGAGCAGTAGTAAAATATGGACTTGGTGATGGAAATGAGGCTGGAGATCACATGATAGAATTTTGCAAAACCAAAGACTTGTTCATATCAAATACCTTTTTTCAACAACACAAAAGTCTATACACATGGACTTCCACAGACGGAAAACATAGAAATCAAATTGACTACATCTGTGGGAAGACACAATGGATTAGCTTAATATCAGCAGTTAAAACCTGACTAAGTAAATGTGGAACAGACCATCAATTTCTCATCTGCAAGTTTAGGATAAAGCTGAGTAGAATTCAAACCAGTCCACAGGGGCCAAAATAGGCCCTTGAGTGTATCCCACCTAAATTTTAAGAACATATTTGACTAATTGAACACTAATGACAGGAGACATCATGAGCTGTGGGCTGACATCAAGACTATTAGTCCGGGTAGACTAGGGAAACAAATTCATAGACACACATATGTGTATAAGAAAAAGCTTTATATACCAGAGCAATTGAGTATTGAGGAAACATCCCAGCCCAGTCCAGATCAAGTCCATAAGTCCAATATTATCTCCTTGTCTGATACTCATCTATAAATTTCTCTTCAGACTCAAGAAACACATGAAATGATACCAAATGCAGCAAGAGCACAAGCCAGTGGGTGGAAAATCTTGTGGTAGAAGCATGTCAGTGCTGGGATGGGTCTCCACATGACTCCTCCAGCTCTGGACTCTGGCTGCATCAGTGTAGCTCCATCAGGCTCGTCATCAGTAATGTCTTGCACAGAGAGTGAGTATGTGTCCCACCTCCAGCAAGCTATTTATTTCCTTAGTGCCTCTAAATGAGGTCATCAAGCTGTGACCTGATTGACAAGGTAAATTCTACCCCTTCACTCTTCAGTCTCAAATTGACAACAGATTATGCAACTACCACAACAATTATTCATTAAGAAAGAAGAAGATCATTAAAGGACAGGAAAGAAAGAAAAGATCGAAGTGGATGCCAGAAGAGACTCTGAAACTTTCTATTAATTATAGAGTAGCTAAAGCAAATTGAAGAAAGGGTGAAGCCAAACAGCTGAATAGAAAATCTCAAAGAACAGCTCAAGAAGACAAAGTCAAATATTATAACAAAATGTGCAAAGACCTGGAATTAGAAAATCCAAAGAGAAGAACATGCTCAGCATATCTGAAACGGAATGAATTTAAGGAAACATTCAAGCCTTGATTTGCTATTTTGAAAGATTCTATAGGCAAAATATTGAAGAGATCCATATCTGTACACATTCTAAAGAAAGGTGATCCAACAGTAAGGACATTATTGAACAATATCATTTATAGTACATGCAAGTAACGTTTTGCTAAAGACCATTCAACAACATTGCAGGAGTACATAGACAGGAAATGTACAGATGCTTAGGACAGGTTCAGAAGAGGACTTGGAACAAGGTATATCATTGCTGATGTCTGGTGGATCTTGGCTGAAAGCAGAGCGGCACTCATGGATCATAACAAACTATGGAGAGCAATGAGAAAAGTGGGGATTTCAGAGCCCTTCATCGTGTTAATGCAGAACCACTATAAGGATCAAGAGGTAATTAACAGACAAGGGGATACTGCCTGGTTTAAAATCAGGAAGGATATGGCCAGGGTTGTATCCAGTGATGGGATTCAGCCAGTTCACACTGGTTTGGTAGAATGGATTCCTAAGTTTTTGCTGAGTGAAAGAACTGGTTTTTAAAATGGCATTCGTAATAAGGGTTCTTTCTAAGTTGGGTACCTGAGCAGCACCCAATGTGGAAATCACAAATGTATATCCCTTACTCCCTTTAAACATTCATCTGCACAATAGCATATTCTAGGTGCCCATTTTGACCCATTTTAAAGTTGTTCTAGTTTTTAATAAGTCATTTTCAGCTGGGGGTTTTCTTTATTTTATTTTGTTACTGTTTTTAGCTTTTTTTTTTTTTTTACTCTTTTTAACAACTGTGATAAGCAAGTGACATAACCTTGCTGGTTGAAGCATTTGCTGAGAAAGGTCAAGGATTGCAGTCTTCAATATCGATTTCCATTTAAAATAAAGGAAACCAAAATCCTCACAATTGGACCAGTAAGTAACTCCATGAAAAATGAAGCAAATATTGAAGGTGCCAAGGATTTCATCGTGCTTGAAACCATCATCCCTGCTCATGGAAACAGAAGCAGTCAAGAAATAAAATGGCATATGGCTTTGGGTAAATTTGTAGCACAAGATCTCTTTTAAGTGTTGAAGAGCAACAATACAACTCACAGGATTAAAGTGTGCCTGAACCAAGGCATAGTATTTTCAATCATTGCATACACATCTGAAAGTTGGACATTGAGTAAGAAAGACCAAAGAAAAATTGATGCTTTGAATTATGGCACCGATGAAGAATTTTGAAAGTATTATGAATTGCCAAAAGAACATACAAATCTGTCTCGGAGGAAGGACAGCCACCATACTTACTTCTTAGGAGCAAGGATAGCAAGACTTCATCTCATGTACTTTGGATATGTTATCATGAGAGATCCCAATTCCTAGGAAATGACATCATGCTTGGTAAAGTAGAAGGGCAGTGATAAAGAGGAAGACCTTTGACTGTCTGAATTGACCCTGTAACTATAGCAACGGGCTCAAACTTAGCAACAATTGTGAGTCTGGCTCAGGACTGAGCAATGTTTGGTTCTGGTGTGCATAGGGTCCTGCTGAGCTGGAACAACTACTTGGCACCCAGCAACAACAAAGCTTTGTTCAAATTAAGTGCATTCAAGCTAAATTGTTAGAACAGTGACTGGCATACCACATATTCAGTAAACGTTAGCTATAATTTTTCCTCAGTGTACATTGATTGTTCATCACTGTGAATGGTTCTCGTTATTCTTTTTCTCAGATTGGGAGTTTCCCCATACACCCTGATGACACAGATCAAAGTGCCCATAACACAGCAACTTGGCTTCCTGGTAAGTCTGGTCTGTCATTCATTTCCCCCCAATAGATTAAGAGCTAGGTCAGAACTGTTGATTATGGATAGCATATAAAGTGAGAAATGGAAGTATAATGATCACCAAGCCCCTCCCTCAACTTGCCCCTCCCTCATCTTCCTAAACTTGCCCCTCCCTCATCTTCCTAAAGTCAGAGGTGTCAGTTCATTAATGGGCCAGAGGTAACTATGAGCGTCCCAAAGGGAGTCCATTGGCATATCAACATTGAACTCACCTTACGTGACTTTGTCCAACACTTGTTTCTCAAAGTTATGATGGTTATAGAGATGCTGAGCTCTGCTATGCTGGCAATCAGTATGACTGACAGGATTCCCTGTGAATAATGAAGGGAAAGAAGTAGTATTTGGTGTGAAAGCTGCATCAGTTTAAAGATATATGCTAACAGCCCCTTATACTAAATCTGGAGAGACCCATACTCTAGATCAGCAGTTCTCAATCTGTGGGTCGCCACCCCTTTGGGGTCAATGACCCTTTCACAGGGGTCAACTGATTCCTAACAGTAGCAAAATGACAGTTATGAAGTAGCATCGAAAATATTGTTATGGTTGGGGGTCACCACAACATGAGGAACTGTATTCAAGGGTCACAGCATTAGGAAGGTTGAGAACTGCTGCTCTAGAGGCTTCTGTATCCATCAGCGGTGCATATTTTACATCCTCTGCCTTCAGGATACATCAGGGAAAACAAACTGCAATCCATTTAAGGTCCAGGAAATTATTCCAGTAGTAAAGCATAAAGGTTCTAGTCAGTTATTGTCATGTGGGGATATAGACCATAGGGTACCTGATCTTTCCCTCCTCCCTCCTTTTTTCTTTCTTAGATATAAGTATTTTTTAAATGAGGAAATTTCCAATTAGTTAATCACCTGTGTGAGGCAAATAAAACATATCTGCAGACAATCCACTGATTGTCTTTTTTTTTCCCTTTTTTCTCATTCTGTGTTAAGACAACGTTTAGATTGAGAAACAGCAGGCTATTACAAGGTGTTCAAATCGATTAATCTCTTTAACAGAAAGGATGGAGCGCAACTTTCTGGTTAATTGTGACCCTAGACAAGTGATGGACTCTCTGAAATTCCGTTCTCTAACTGTAAACAATGAATTATCTCTGACACAGATTTTCTGTGTGGACGATATGGCTTTAAAAGCATAGCATCAGGTCTGGCAATAAGAGGCATACATACAGTTTCCCTTCACACATTGATGTTAATGAGGTTGCAGCTATCTGGTGACTCTGCCTTTGTAGCAGATCCCCCAAACATGGCTATTCCCCACTCATTGGTTAAAGGAAATTGTACAAAGTGCTGACTCGATGCAACTTATTGGCTTCACTGTTGAACTAGACAGAGCTAGTCCTGGTCTTTGTGGAGCTTTTATCATAGTAAAGGGACAGAGAACAACATATAACTAGATAACTATTTACTTAATTAAATTGTGATGATTGCTCTGAAGAGGTATTAGGAGCAGTTCAGAACTGTGGGAAACTACAGTTCTATATTCCCTAACGACAGCACTATAAGCCCTAACTTATAACAGGGGATCTGGAAAGCTAAATTAGAGATAAAGTCCAAGCACATTATCCTGCTTTTAATATCTTTCCCACAGATTCTCCCCTAACAGCTATGCTGCCTTAAAGTGAGCACATGGTTGATTCTGTCTCTCTGCAGAGACAGACATTCCCTGATTATCTCCTCCCACCACGGCATCCAGCCCCCCTCATGTCTTCCTCCAATGCCGGTATTGGGTTTCCTCACCTGTGACCTCAGGGACTTTACTATGATTACCACCCACCTTGTGACGTTTGTAACTCCTGAATATGCATGACTAATGGCTAGCTATAAAAGCCCCAAAACAATAAAGATGCTCTCTTCTCTGGTCCTTGTTCCCTCTCCCCTTCTGGCTCCCTCTCCCTCCTCTCTCCTCCTTCTGCACCTCCACGTGTACCATCAAGAGGGGCTGAGGTGAGCATGCTACCATGAAATGTGTCTGACTCCTTTCTTTTACTCTTTCTCCTATCTTTCATTCTCTATGACTTTACTATAATCTTTATATATTATTGCCATACAATTGCGCCTGCCGGGCCTGTGATGATTTGTTAGGGACTTACTCCCCTGACACAGAATTATAAGGCAGATCTGACCAAGTCTGCATGAAGGAGGGGAGAGTGTGGTCAGAAAGAACATCCTTAAAGACTCGAAGGCAGACCTGAGGGTACAGGAGGAATTAGTTAGGTAAGTGGAAAAGGACGGGCACGGGACTGTGGAGTCTTCTAAGAAGCAAGCAGCTCGCCTTATGAGCCTGAGGCAGAGGGTACCTAGTATACTAAGGAATTCCAGGATATGTCTGGAGTAGGGAGTAAGAGACATAAAAGCCTGGGAGAGTGCTGAGACAGTGCTATAGGATCTTGTAAGCCTTTTAAGATTTGGACCCATGATGATGCTTCACAGAAACCATTGAGTACTGTGCTCAGATTTATGTTTTAAACACAATGTATTCTGGTTTCAATACAGACAATGGGTTAGTTCTTTGAGAAAAATTGGTTATCATTAGATGTCATCCAGTCGGCTCTGACCCAAAGTGCCTTTTCTGCACACCAGAAGGAAACACTGCATGGGCCTGCACCATCCTCACAATTGTTCTTTATGGTTGAGTCTATTATTGTAGTCACTGTTCCAATACATCTTATTAGGGGCCATTCTCTTTTTTTTTTTTGCCACCCCTCAACTTTACCAAATAGGATGTCCTTATTCAGGGACTGGTCTCCATTGACAATATGTCCAAAGTATGTAAGAGGAAGTCTTGCCATCCCTGCCCCTAAGGAGCACTTTGAACTTATTTCTTCCGATTCAGATTGGGTTGTCTTTTTAGCAGTTCATGGTAATTTCAATATTCTTCTCTAGTACAATTCATATGCATCAATTCTTCTGTCTTCCTTATTCAATGTCCAACTTTCACATGCATACGATGCAATGGAGACTACCATGACTTGGGTCAGCTGCACCTTAGGCCTCAAAATAGCATCCTTTCTTTTCAATACTCGTAAGAGGTCTTGTGCAACATGCCTTTGGATCTCCTGACCTCTTGCTTCCATGAGCACTGATTGTAGATCCAAGTAAGACAAAGTCCTTGACAACATCAACCTTTTCTCCATTTATCATGATGTGACCTATTGGTCCAGTTAAGAGTATTTTGGTTTTCCTTACATTGAGTTGTAATCCGTACTGAAGGCTACAATCCTTGGTGTTCATCAGCAAGCTTCAAATCCTTCTCACATTCACCAAGCAAGATATGTCCTCTGCATAGCACAGGTTGTTAATAAGCGTTCCTCCAGTAGTGATGCCACATTCTTCTTCATATAGTCCAACTTCTTTGATTATTTGTTCAGTACATAGATTGAACAAGTATGGTGAAAGGCTAGAACCGTGAAGCGCACCTTTCCTGATTTTAAACCATGTAGTGGTTCCTTGTTCTGTTCTCACAACTCACTCTTGATCCAGGTTAGAGTTCCAAATGAGCACAATGATCCGTTCTGGAATTCCCATTCTTTTCAACGTTATGCACAATATATTATGGTCCACACAGTCGAATGCCTTTCCATAGTCAATGAAAGACAAGAAAACATCTTTCTGGTATTCTCTGCTATGAGCCAAGATCCATCTGACATCAGCAATGATATCCCTTGTTCCTTGTCTTCTTCTGAATCTGGCCTGAACTTCTGGCAGCTCCTTGTCAATGCACCGCTGCAACTATTGTTGAATGATCTTAAGTAAAATTTTACTTGTGTGCAATATGAATTACATCCTTGTATAGTTTGAGCATTTTGTTGGATCACCTTTCTGTGGAACAGGCACAAATATGGATCTCTTCCAGTCAGTTGGCCAAGTAGCTGTCTCCCAAATTTCTTGCCCTAGGTGAGTGAGTGCTTCCAGTGCTTCTTCAGATTTCTGAAACATTTCATTGGGTAGTCCATCCATTCCTGCAGCTGTGTTTTTAGCTAATGTGTTGAATGAAGCTTGAACTCTTCCTTTAGCATCATGGGTTCTTGCTCACATGCTACCTCCTGAAATGGTAGTGCCAATCTGTGTATTCTTTCCATCCTGCATCATTCAACATTTTACCTATAGCGTCTTTCAAAATAGCAATTCAAGGCTTGAGTTTGGTCTTTCGTTCTTCCAATTTCAGAAATGCCAAGTGTGTTCTTCCCTTTTGCTTTTTTGATTCTAAACCCTGTACATTTTGCTATAACAGTCGGCTTTGTCTTTATGAGCTGCTCTTTGAGATTTTCTATGCAGCCGTTTGACTGCAGCCTTTCTTCCATTCACTTTACCTACTTTACAGTGAAGAGCAAGTTTCAGAGTTTCTTCTGACATCCACTTTGATCTTTTTTCCTCTTCTCTCTTTTTAATGCCCGTTTGCTTTCTTCATGGATGAGGGTCTAGATGTCCTCCCACAGTTTCTCAGGTCTTCTGTCGTTAGTGTTCCAGGAGTCAAATCTGTTCTTGAGATGTTCCTGGAATTCAGGTGGGAGAGACCCGAGGTCATATTTTGACTCTTGTGGATTTGTTTTGATTTTCCTCAGCGTTATACGCATTTGAGGTCTGTTCCACAGTTGGCTGATGCTGAGCCTCTCCATTAGGTCTTCCTACAGATCCAGTCCGTTTGATTTCTGTGAATTCCCTGTGGGAAAGTTCACGTGTATAGTCACCTTTTGTGTTCTCGAACAAACGGTTGGTTTTAACAAATTCTCTCATGAGATCTCCAGCTTCATTTCTATGACCAAGGGCATATTTTCCAATGACCGTTCCTTCCCCTTTCTTTCCAACTTTTGCATTCCAATCACTAATAACTACCAATGCATCTTGAATGCATGTTTGGTCAAGTTGTGACTGAGATTGTTGGTAGAATTTTTCAGTGTCTTCATCACTAACGTTTGTGGTTGTGCATAAAATTGACTAACAATTGTATTGATTGGATATTCTTGAAGGCAAATCAATATAATCCAACCACAGATGGTATTATACTTCATGATGCATTTAACATGACATTTTCTTATAATGCATGCCACACCATTACTCTTGATGTGTCATTCCAAGCATAGTAAATAATATGATTTTCTGATTCAAAATGGCTAATAACAGTCCATTTCCACTCACTAACACCTAGGAAACCAATCTTCATGGATCCATTTCATTTTTGACGACTCCCAATTTTCTTAAATTCATACTTCCCACATTCTAAGTTCCAATTTGTAGAATATTTTTGCAGCTGTTTCTCTACCTTGTATCATGCTTCATCAGCAAAGGAGGATCCCAAGGCTTTATCTGACTCATGTCATGATAATTGACTCCCCTCCGAGAAACCAGCTTCTCTTCAGACACATTTGGAGTGTCCTTGGACCTGAGGGGCCCATCTGCCAGCAGTATCTCTGAGAATTTCCTGCTTCCTTTGTTGAGGCTTTCAGTATTTGACAATGCCTCGAAGTCATGCATAAGGTTTTCAGCGACTTCTTTCTCCAAAGTGAGAAACCCAGTCCTTCCTTCTTGTTTGATCTTAGTCTGTAAGTTCCACTGAAACCTGTTCACTTTAGGTGACCCTGCTGGCATTTGAAATTCAAGTGATATCGCTTCCAGCATCACAGCAACACACAAGCCACCACCATATCACAAACTGACAGATAAGTGTTAGGAGACAAAAGTTAGGCCAAGAAATCTCCAAAGCTCACTGTTCTGAAAGTGTTAGGACCTTTTCTATGACTTTTGAGCTATGACAGAGAATCATGACAATATACAAGTTAGGTATAGGAACATATTATCTGACTTTGTATGTAGACATCTTATCGTACAACATCCATGGCATGAAACACACTAATAGAGTTTACATATGTCTGGAGATAAAACCCTTTCATTGTACCAGTTTCTTCCCGAGTAAAAATTATAATGCTGCATCATGCTCTTATATCATGTTTAGCTAGGACAGAATTTTGTCCTTAATAATAGCCTCTGGTTTTCTTTCTTTCTTTTTTTTTTTTTTTAAAAAGCATTTTATTAGGGGCTCGTACAACTCTTATCACAATCCATAAACATCCATTGTGTCAAGCACATTTGTACATTTGTTGCCATCATCATTCTCAAAACATTTTCTTTCTACTTGAGCCTTTGATATCAGCTCCTCATTTTCCCTCCCTCCCTCACCCCTGGTAATTTATACATTATTGTTATTTTGTCATGTCTTACACTATCTGATGTCTCCCTTCACCCACTTTTCTGTGGGCCTCTGGTTTTCTTTAGTAATCTTTTGTGTGTCAGCATTTCTGGGATTTTTCTCAGAGAGGGTCTTAAGGCCAACTTCAGTGTGGTAGTTACACAATTCCATTACAACTTGAAGATATATAAAAGTATAGAGGTGGTATTCAACCTGTCAATCAAGTCACAGTCTGATGATGTCTCTTTGTGGACATAGCCTTCTCAAAAGGAGGGCCCTAGGAACCTCCCCTTGTCTCTCTGCCTTCCCCTTCCTGCTGGCTGTCCCTGCTTGCTGCCAGAGCGCTGTGATGCATCTACTGCTGTTGGATCCACATGACTCTGTACCCACCAACCTGTGCTTCTCCTGCATTCTGCTTCATTGCTTGCGACTGTGTGAGTCTGAAGAGGGATTTATGGAGTAGTATCAGACTTCGGGACCTGAGATGGACTGGGCTGGGGTGTTTTCTTGATATATAATTACTTCTTATTATAAAGCTCTTTCTTACACATATGAGTATCACTGGATGTGTTTCTCTAGTCAACCTGGCCTGACACATTGAGTAATTGGCTATGGGACTAAATAAAATCACACATAGTACTTGATGACTTTTTTCCTTTTTTTTTCTATTTAAAGGAGATAAAATTCCAGATTCTTCATAATTTCCATCCAACTAGGCTTGAATGTCATTACAATTCCAAAACTCCAGTTTTCACGATACAGTTGGTAAAAATGGAATAAAACCCAGGGTTTACTTCGGGGAGCAAAAGGGAAAGGACTGTTGGAATCATTGACATGCTTGAAAGTAATGCAGGATGATATGCTAGACAAGTATTTCAGGGTATACCTGTAATTGTATTTCCTGGTATAGAGCAGAGTTTATCTGTTTTGATTAATAAAATTGAGCTTATATAAAATGATTCATGTCCTAACATTCTTAAAATATTTTACTTGATTCAAGTGGCTTAAGCACATCACACAATATGTTTACCTCTTTTAGTGTTGATTGTGCAAACTTTTCAGATCACTCTGTTGCTAATTCATGCTGAAAGGGTCATATTTAATCCATCAACATCAGTGGTAACAGTAATTATTATTCCTAATTATTATTATAAAGATAGCACCTGTTGACATTTTACATTGTGCCGGGTACTGTTCTTATTTCATCATCACAAGAATCCAATAATGCAGATAGATATTTTGCAGAAGAGGAAAACTGAGGCTAGGACAGAACAAAATATTCACACCAAAGCTTATAATCAACAGAACCAAGATCCAAGTGCAGACATGATTCCTGAATCATTTTAATCATCGACTCACAACATGCTTCTCAAACATCGATTCCAATGTTAACCCAGTCACAACTGCTAGAATTAAAATTTTGGAGTCCCTGCACATGAACATAGTTCTGATAAGGTAATACAAATTTATCATACAAACTAGACCGCTTACATTTATCAGTGTTCTGCCTACAACACATACTCCTTCAAGCGAAGGCACCTGGCAGAACCTGTGTTCATCTTTATAGCTGATCATCGTGAGCGTGATTCCAGCGATGGCGACCAAGGAACTGATGACATTCATGGACGTGACACATTGTCTCTGGAAAACAGTGATAAAACAAATGCATCAATTCCCTTGTGAGAAATCCCTGGTAATGTCATGGTCCCAGATACTTGCTAGGGATGAATTGCTGTCAGGTCAATATATTGGTTAGGCTTGGTAGATTAAGTCATGAGCCATCAAAGTCAAAAGCTAAACCAAGTTTTATCATGAACCAGGTGCTGAGAAAGAAAATGGATTGATGCTGTTGATGCTAAGGAAAATGTTTGCTCTGTCTTGGTGAGGTGCTGTTCATAAGCTGTAAGCAGAAGGGGATGGAAGGGCACAGCCACTGCAATAATAGGTTTACACATAACAATGGTCACGAAGCGGGTGCAGGCCTTGCAACATTTATGTCCGCTTCAAGTTATGAGTGGGGGTCAACTTCATGGCTCCCACCAATGTCAACATTGCTTGGGGTAAATCTGCTGCACACGATCTATTTAATTAGTGTTGGAAAGCAAGAATGTTACCTTGAGGATTAAGGTATACTTGACTCAAGCCCTGGAATTCTCAATTGCCTCATATTCCTGTGAAAGTTAAACATCGAGTATGGAAGACCCCAAAAAGATGGGTGCATTTGAATTCTGGAGGTTGGTGAAGAGTCTTGAAAGTACCATGGATGGCTAAAAGACCAAACCAATTTGTCGAAGAAGTGCAGCCCGAGTGCTCCTTAGAGGCAAGAATGATGAGACTTGTTTTAAGCACTTGGTGTGTATTGTCAGGAAAGACCAGTCCCTGGAGAAAGACATCACGCTTGGTGTAGTAGTTAGGAATTATGTCAACTAAACACTCCTGGCTAGAAGTGGAGCCAAATCTATTAGTCAAGTGTAGCTTGGTGACAGTTCCGGGAACTGCCTCTCTCTCTTTGCCACTTTGCCTCCCTGCCTGCTGGGATTCTCTGTCTGCCTCCAGGGGTGGCCCCACGTAGGATGACCGACCCTGGGAGCTGTCAGTGGTCTGCCACGTTTCTAGTGATTTGGGGTCTATGTGACTTCACCTGGACTATTTCTGCTTCACCATGCTGTGCCATAGGCATTAAGTTGAAGAGGGACTTATGGATTAGCATTGTCTTTAAGGACTGCCGTTGGATTGGGCAGGGATGTCTTCTATTGATATAAGATTACAGGTTTATAGAAAGCTCTTTCTTAGACATACATGAGTGTTGCTGGATTTGTTCCTCTAGACAACCCAGTCTAACACATTCAATAAAGCAGTGGGGCAGCAAAAAGGAAAGCTCCCCAATGAGAGGCAATGACACCATGGCTGCATCGATGGGCCAAACATAAGAACAATTGTGAAGGTGTCAAGAGACCTGGCAGTGTTTTCTCCTTTTGTATGTAAGGTCACTATGAGTCAGACCCAACTCCGTGGCACCTAACAACAACAACAATTGTGTGGTGGAAAATATTTTGGCTTTGAAGTTAGATAGATCTGATGTTAAGTCTTGGCTTTATTGGGACCTGTGCGAATTCGTTAAACTCTTAGAATCTCCATTTCCACCTTTTTATGATGTGAGTGATGGCACCTATCTGAGGGTAGCATCCACCGTTCATTCATTGCATTATAAACATTTAGTGCACACTATGTGTCATCTCATAGCAACCCTAGGGCAGGGTAGCTCTGTCCCTGTGTGGTAAATCTTTAGCAAGTTTCATTTTTTCTCCTGTGTAGTGGCTAATGGGTTTGATTTACCGACCTTGTGGTTAGCAGAAATAAGTACAGAGAAAAGAGAATTTAGGGCTTCCTCTGCACTCTCTGTATTAGCTTCCACAGGTAGAGAGAGAATGAGTGATTCCTCTCTTGGGATCTTGCCCATGACTTGTAACTGAGGACAGAGGGCCATTTGGACAGAATTAAATGGCTTTGAGAGAAGGCCTACATCTCCAGGACCTTAAAAACATCAGTTATGATAAGGGAATACTACAATTGAAATACTATTATGCCTTTTACATATATATATATATATACACATATCATAAAATCCTCACAATAATCCATAGAAGATGCTCTTCCCTTCCACTTACACAGTAATGAGTGGTAGCCTTGATTCCGTTTTTAGATTCATTTTTTTCCTTTAGATCTTAGGTCTCAAAGGAAAGCCTCTGCTGGTCAGTGTGAGGGAGCGCTAGAATCTTGGGAAAGGTTTTCATTAGAGCAGGCATTCTCAACCTTGACACTATTACATTTTGGGCCATACAGTTGTTTGTTGTGGGGAGCTGTCCTGAGCATTGTGGGACATTTAGTGCAGTGGGTTCTCAACCTGTGGGTCTTGACCCCTTTGGAGGTTGAAGGACCCTTTCACAGGGGTCGCCTAAGACCATCGGAAAACACATATTTCTGATGGTCTTATGAACCAAGACACTGCTTTTCTATCCATCTCCAGGTGGGTCTGCCCACATGCAGATATGCCCATATACGCCTATATATGAGTACCCGGCATGAGGACTGTTACCCATGCTACACCATGCTTCAAGACAAAATTTCATTTATTTGTCATTGGAAATAACTACTTCACAGTATGTAAACATACTGTTTGTAATGAATCACTATGCTTTAATTATGTTCAATTTGTAACAGTGAAAATACATCCTGCAGATCAGATATTTATCTAACAATTCATAACATTAGCAAAATCACAGTTATGAAGTAGCAATGAAAATAATTTTATGGTGGGGGGTCACCAGCATGAAGAACTGTATCAAAGGGTCATGCATTAGGAAGGTTGAGGACCACTGATTCAGAAGCATCTCTGGTTGTGACTGCCAAAATAGCAGACAATCTGTCTTGGTAGAAGTACAGTCAGATGCTCCTTCGAGGTAAGGATAGTGAGACTTTCTCTCATATACTTTGGACATGTTATCACAAGTGACCAGTCCCTAGAGAAGGACATCATGCTTGGCAAAGTAGGAGGGGCATCAAAAATTAGGAAGGCTCTTGCTGAGATGGGTTGCCATAGTGGCGACAACAATGGCCTCCCGCAGAGGAACAATTGTGGGGTTGGCGCAGGAGTGGACGGTGTTTCATTCTGTTGTCCACAGGGTTGCTATTTCGAAGGCATCTAACAACAGTTGTTTGTGACAACCAAAATTGTCTTCAGTCATTGTTGGACATTCCCTCGACGGAAAAACCAACCCCGTTGAAATGAGAGGATTGTAGACTGTGTCCACTCGTGGTTCAGCTACAAAACCCAGGAAGTGGAAGCTAGTGAAATAGAGTGGGGCTAAGGAGATCGTGACTTTGACAAACAGATGACTTGAACTGCACAGGTGATGAATAAAGAGTTTTCTTGGACATTTTTCATTACTAAAATTTTTATACACAGAGATGATATAAAGAAAAGAGAAGATTTTACATGGCAAAATGTGACGTAGGTGACTTACCAGGCATTTTTGGGGTTTCTCCTTAGTTCCTGTGAAGTATCCCGCCAGAAGAAACTGTCAGGTAGACAAGAGAGCGAAGTTTAGGGGTGATGTGTGTGACTGCCTCCTCACCACATGAACATAAAGCAAGGAATGTCGCACAAGGTGGATGAGAACTCTGCCACCCACAGCAGAGTGACTATTGTCTTATGGTTCTAGGGAGCAGAAAGCCTCCTTTGGGAATGAGTGTTGAGTGCATCTGAGTCTTAGAGTATAAGACCCTCAGATGACGATGCAGTCATCTTTGATGTTTCCCCCCACATGAAACCACCCGGTTCGACTAGTTCTATTCTAAGTCACTCTCAAAACTACTCATTTTGCTCCTTCTCCATTGCTGCCAACTACCCCCAGCATTCCCCTCCCCTCCCTTGAATGATTCAAGCCTCCTCCCAAGGGATGCTTCCAAGTCTGCCGTGGTCATCCCTGAATTTATTTTCCACTTAGAAAGGATGTTCTTTTAATATAGTATACCTATTAATGCCATTACTTTATTGAAAAATTGGATCTTATATCAAAGTTTCATATTCTTAATATGACCACAAGGGTTGGGGTGATCTGGCCTGGCCACAACTGTGGGCTCCATTGTCGCCCCTGCTAAATGGCTCAGTGGTGCGTGTGTGCTCATGTGTCTGTTTCCCCTTCTTTATCTTTTCCACATCAAATCCTCCCTGTGCCCTTGCTTTGCTTTTGCCTGGAATGTTGTACTTCACCAAGGCTTATCTGTGTATAAGATATATGCTTGATCTCCCAGACCCACAGTGGACCTCATTCAGCCCTGACACGGCACCCGGAACGTCTCTCTTACAGCACTTAGCGCAAGTGCAAAAACATCTGTTGAGTTGTTCTCACCTTTTTATGTCTAGTCTCTCACTAAATGGCACCTAGGACACTGTGCCAGACATAGTATGTGCCCAGTAAATATCTTTTAAATGAACAGTAGCTGTTTGAAAAAGCACATGCCAGAGACTTATAATAATGAATGCAAGCAGATCACAGAGAGTCAGACTGGGGCAATTCTGTTGCGAAATGAGGGAAGTGAGGGGTTGGGTGTACTTGCATTTCTTTCATAGGGGACATGTTGGAAAATCATATTCATGATGATATTATTTATAGTTTGTTAGTGAGCATTCTGCCAGTGTTTTTGAAATGGAAATTATAGAAAAGGCATGGATATTTATGTATGCCCAAAGGGGGCATGGGTCTCAATTGTTAAAGAGAAAAATGGTCCTATTTATTCATTATTTCATTCATTTGTTATAGGTTATTTGATTCATGCCTACTAGGTTCTGAGATACAAAAGCAAAAGACAATATAATCGTACAATCTAGTGGGGGAAATTCTGATGGGTCCGCCTTTAAAATATTAGAGGGCAGTGTAGTGGGTATGATGGAAACAATATGGCACGAAGAATTATATTTATGGTTCTGTTATTAAGTAAGGAACCCAGGTGGCACTATGGGCTAGGCTTTGGGCTGCTAACTATATGATCAGTGGTTCAAACCCACCGGCTGTTCACAGGTAGAAAGATGAGGCTGTCTGTTTTCTTGAAGATTTACTCTCTCAGAATCCCAGGAGGATCACTGTAAGTTGAAATTGACTTATTAACAGCGCTTTAAAATATTAAATGGATGAGTAACACTCATCCTTATATCTTGGGACTGAGAAAAGGGTTGATCTATAATAATCTTCAAATTCACTTAAAGATACGAGAATCTGATACTGTCAGTGATAGCTAGATACATTTAAGTTTTTCAACTTTTCTCAGGCTAAGTTTCCTTTTTAGAAAAGGGGAAATTAGGATATTTGTCTATCTTTTCTTCTAGATTGGTGACTCACTGCTATCTGGTCAATTCTGACGCATAGCGACCCTGGCGGGATTGAAAAACAGAACGGTATGTGAATGGATATATTGGATTGTGTAATATATGTCAATGAAACTATTAATAATAATAAGAAAAAAGGCTGAAGAGTCCTGCCCTTGTGGGTTCCTAAGGCTGTAAATCTTTATAAGAGCAGAAAGCCTCATCCTTCTCTTGAGGTCCACTCATTGTTGGTTTCAAAATGCTGGCCTTGTGGTTAGCAGCCCCGCATGTAATCCAGTAGGCCCCCAGAGCTCTTCCAGATTGGCAGTGAGGAGCAAAGGACGTACTATCCCCCAAAGAGCTCTGGGTGTTTTTACGCGCTGGGCACTGAAGAGGCTTTATGATGATGATGCTGGGAGTACACTGCCCAGTGGGGTTTTTTGTTTTTTCCCATGGGGGCGATTTTGGCTTTTATTCTTCTTAGGAAACCATAATCCTTGATCTTATTATCCCAGAATTTGAGGGGTTTCAAACCAGAATTTATATTAGTTTATCATACGTTCCTAAATGGTGGTACTCACAGTGAGTGCTCCCCAGAATGGATATCCTGAGAGGAACACGAGAGGAAATCTTTGGGAGAATGTGATAAAGTTAAATAGAATTATACTTCCGAGGCCTGCAATGATCAGCCCGAGCAGGATCTGGACAGTCTGTGAGGAGAAGAATGGGTACATGAGCTCACAAGTGCACCAGCGACATTGGATCCCCCATCTATGCTTGTGCCCAGGCCTCTCCTTCCTTGGGATACTGCCATCCTCCTCCACTTACCAATCTCTAGGATAGTTGGGAGAGCCCTGGTGGCTCATGGTTAAGTGCTTGGCTGCTAACAAAAAGGTGAGAGGTTCAAAGCCCCCTAAAAGCCCCGAGAGAGAGAGAGAAGACCTGATGATTTGCTCCTGTAGAGCTTGTTGACGTTAGCTGCTATCGAGTTGGTTCCAACTAATAGCAGCCCTATGCACAACAGAATGAAATACTGTCTGGTCCAGTACCATCCTTAATTGTTCTTATGTCTGAACCCATTATTACAGCCACTGTATCCATCCATCTAATCGAGGGTGTTCCTCTTTTTCACTCCCGACCACCCCACTTTACCAAGGATGATGCCCTTCTCCAGAGACTGATCTCTCCTGACATCATGTTCTAAGTATGTGAGACGAAGTCTCACTACGCTTGCTTTTAAGGAGCATTCTGGCTGTACTTCTTACAACACAGATTTGTATGATCTTTGGGCAGTCATGATACATCTGGCAGGCCATGGTTCTTTTACTATTCTTCACCAACACCGTGATGCAAATGCATTGACTTTTCTTCAGTTTTACTTATTCAACAACAACTTCAGAAAATGCTATGGAGCAGTTCTAGCTTATCCAGTAGCGTCAATAGGCTTTGGAATCAATTGGATGACACAAAACCACAGAATGATCAGGAGTCTCCTTTCAAATATCTCTGCTTCACTGCCCTTTCAGGGGTTATTCAGGTTCAAACATTTCAGCAGTATCCCTCCCTACTAACTACTCTAAGAACCTTCTGAGTACCCATTTATCTTGATCCGGACAGACTTGAGAGCTTGTTTGACTATCCCTTAAACTCTAAGCTTCTTGAAAACAAGAGCTACCCATGAACTATGCACCACCCTCCTGGCACGTGCATCTTGAAGGCCATTTGAGTGTAGGGATCCTCCCATCAAGTGAGATCAGATTTTTGAAAGAGGGGGAGGGGAGGATGACCGCTTAGTGGCCAACACACACAGGTGTGATGACGTCCCGCTGGACTCAGGCATTCCTACCAGAATGATGAAGGGGACTGAGGGCAAAATCAAGTCCGGAAGGGGAAAGGGAGTGTACACATTGTGGAGAAGACAAGCAAACGTTTGTGTGAGAATGGGGAGAACCGACTTCCTAGCAGAGAAAAAAAACGACTAACCAAACTTTTAAGGAACCTAAGGGGGTGGGGTATGCCTGGTACTTTGCTCCTAATAGGCCACATTGGTCTGAGTTTTGTACAGCCCCTGGGGACCCAGGTCATGTGCCATAGAATACTAGGACTTTGAACCCTGGCACACAACACACCTCCAGGCACACAACACACTCCAAAGGCCGTACCACAGGGATGGATATGGAAATCCCACTAGGTAAACTAGGCTATACCTCAAATATAACTGTAACCCGAGGATTCAAGACTGAAACTACATGGTGTGTGAAGAAGCAGAAAACAACTATACCAAGAATATTAAATTATCAGTAGGAGGACTAACATTTACTTACTATTTTGATGCCCGACTTGCCATATTAAGATATGTTTTATTCTGTCAGACCTGTGTCTAATATTGTCAGTGAATATTATTGTAAGTTTTGGCTGACCACCAACTCCCATAGTTTGTGTAAATAGCATCTAGTCATATAAGGATTTATTCTGTACAAATCAATAATCTATGTATTACAATTTGTAGTTAGCCTACACTTGTTCAACCTCCCTTTCTCAAATTAGTTTTAAAATTAGTACCATAGACTAATCAATGATGTTATAAACAGAAGGTGATTCTCTACCATAAAATAACAAGAATGAAAAAATAGTTTATCTATTTTTTTTAAAAAATCGTTTCATTAGGGGCTGATACATCTCTTATCATAATCCATACATACATCAATTGTGTAAAGCACATTTGTACATTCATTGCCCTCATCATTCTCAAAACATTTTCTCTCCACTTATGCCCCCAGCATCAGGTCCTTAAAAAAATTTTTTTTAAATAACAAGAATGTCTTTAGGGTGAACCAGAGGAGAGAAAAAAGCAAGGTTCAGGAATAGTTTTGGACTCAAATGTAATCCTACATCCAATCTAAGAACAATTCATTCTCACGACATGGCCCTGATTGGCACTTGCCCTCATGAAGGAAACACGGAAGATTTGGGTACTATAGCAAAGTGTGGTGAAGAAATTAGATGATGCCTCGCTATCAGAAATAATAACATCTAAGATCTTAAAGGCTTGTTCTCAAACAAGCACCCATCTAAGTGAAATGTAAACTAAGCCCACATGGAAGAAGCACACCAACACCTGTGATCCAAAGATTGTAAATTATAAAATCCAGATCTGAAGGAGGGAATAGTATCAGAGTTTAAATTGTGAGATCATGGTGTGGAGAAGGCTATGGATGAGAGTGGAAGCCCCAAATCATTTGTAGGATCTACACAGGGAATAGGTCTCTAGTGATTTCCCTTCAACCATAATTGAGGGATGGGAACAAATGGATTATCCCAGACAGAGAGTATTAGAGAGATGGCTACAGTAGATTAAAATGATAAATCTGACTTGAATGGTTAAAACCTTGTCATTTGATCTCCCTTTTGATACACTTTGTACTTGATCTGGTTTTTAATATTTTGTGGGGTTTTTTGATATTGGGGTTTTTCTCTGTTGTCTTTTGTCATGGCTGGTAGCCTTTTTGATGCTCTGTTACATATATTTCTATGTTTTTTGGTACATGAAACCAAAGATCTGTATAAACATGCAAGTGACCTCATGGGGCTATCAACTTGGCAGGAGTTGAATTTCATGGTATTCTTGCAGGACCTGTGGCTTGTCTCCTGTAGTTTGTGTCCCCAACCCACATCTCTGTGGCGCCATTCCACCAAGAGTGGTTTCACTGTTGTACTGAGAATGAAGGCTGTGTACACAAATCTCTCTCTAGGTATATTTATGAATGAAAAAGTGTGTCTAGATAGTAGTTCACTATGGAGTTTTGACTCAGTGCTTGTGAGTAGCATACTGGAGAGATTTAACTTTTCTTTAAATGACTTCTAAGTTCCATGGTGTCAACTCACCCTGAAATTACTTCCTCACAATGAGGCATTTTGGGGGTGGGGGGTGATACCAACTTCCTGCTTCCTTTTACTAGGATTCAGACTGTTAATAACTTCTCTTGAAACATCCCTTGGATTCCTCAAGGGATAGGGATTAGATTTAATGATGACTGATTAGATTTAATGATTCTATTTCCATTTCTAGGTATGATGCTGAAGCTATGATGAAATTTCAAATACCATGATGGACAACATGTCCCAGCAATGATTCAGACTAAGAACAGAGTAGGAGTTTTCCAATATTATAATGAAATGTGAAAAGACACAGAATTAGAAAATAATTGGAAATTGTGGCTTTGCTGATAGAAATGATGCTGGAGATCACATGAAAGAAATTTGTAAAACCGACGACTTCTTCATTGCAAAGATACTTCTTCAACTACCTCACCAGCTAGAACACACAGGAATCAAATCGACCATATCCGTGGGAAGAGATGATGGAGAAATTCAATGCAATGCCAAGGACAGACTGTGGAAGACGCCATGAATTGTTCATAGGAAAATGCAGGTTATAGCCAAAGAAATAAAATAACTCCACCAGAGCCAAGATACAACTTTGATTGAACACCACATTTAGAAATCATCTCCGGATATATCTGATGCATTGAACACTGATTATCGAAGGCTAGGTGAGTTGCAGGATGACATCAGATTCTTACATATGAAGAAACCTACAGATCACCACAAAGGAAGTAGAGACTATAATGAATGTCAGAAAAGACTGAAACTTGTTCTTGGACATGTTGTTAGATGCCATCCAATTGGTTCTGATGCATAGTGACCTTATTTACAACAGATCAAGTCCTCAGGTTACAGGTATGTTTGAGGTACAGCCTAGTTCACCTAGTGAGGAGGGTCCTGTGCCATCCTCAGAATCGTTTCTAGGTTTGAGAGTGTTGTTGCAGCCACTGTGTTAACCCATCTTGTAAGCAAGACAAAATCTTGCCATCCTTGCCTCTAAGGAGCATTCTGAACATAGAGTAAAGCAAAAACAAACTACTGCCATTGCGTAGATTTTAACTTATTGAGACCCATATAGGAGAGAGTAAAACTACCCTCCTGTGGTTTTCTGAGACGTTAACTCTTTACAGAAGTAGAAAACATCATCTTTTTGCTGTGGAGCTTAGCAACCCCATGTGTAGCCCTGTATACCATCAGGTCTATAAACATAGATTAGCTAAAGCAAACAGAAGAAATAATGAAGTAAAAAAACTGAACAGAAACTTTCAAAAGGCAGCTTAAGAAGACAAAGTAAAGCATTATCATGAAATGAGCCAGGACCTGGTTTTAGAAAGCCCAAAGGGAAAAACGTGTTTAGCATGACTCAAGATGAAGGAACTGATAAAAAAAAGTCAAGGCTTGAACTATGATTGATATTCAAGGACTCTAAGGGGAAAATATGAATCATCTGAAGAATACAGAGTCACTGAACTTAAAAGAACTGGTTTACATCTAACCATTCAAGAGGCAACATATGACCAAGAACTGATGGGATTGACGGAGGATGTTCAACTGTGCTGAGGCATTAGCTTCAGGAAGTGCAGGAATACCAATGAAATGTTTACAAAACAAAACTGATGCAGCCCTAGGAGTATTCATTAGTCTATGCTAAGAAGTTTGGAAGTTAACTACCCGGCTAGCAGATTGGAAGAGATATTGCATACTTATGCCTATTCTAAAGAAAGATCACAACAGAATTTGGAAATTATCTAATTATATCATCAATATTACCTGCAAGTCCATTTTTTCTGAAGCCATTTAAAATTTGGTTGTATCAGTACATTAACATGGAGTTTCTAGAAATTCAAGCTGGATTCAGAAGAGGACATGACATGAGGAAGATCACTGCTGATCTCAGATAGATTTTGGCTAAAGGCAGAGAATACTAGAAAGATGTTTTTTTGTTTTTTAATTAACTATCTAAAGGCATTCAAATTTGTGGGTCACAACAAACTATGGATAACACTATAAAGGGTGGGAATTCCAGACCACTACATTGTATCTTATGGGAAACCTGTACACAGACCAGGAGACAATCGTTTGAATAAATCAAGGAGATACCATGCACTTTAAAATCAGAGAAGGTGTGCATCAGGGTTCTATCCTGGCATCATATTTATTTTAGCTAAATGCTGAGCAAACAATCTGAGAAGCTGGACTACATAAATAATGATGTAGCATCAGGATGTCTCATTGACAACCTGTGATATGCAGATGATGCAACCTTGTTTGCTGACTGCAAAGAGGACTTGGAGCGCTTCCTGGTGAAGATCAAAGACTACAGTGTGCAGTCTGGATTCAGACTCAATGTAAAGGAAACAAAAATCCTCAGAATTGGACCACCAGACAGCATCATGACAAATGGTGAAAACAATATCACTTTTCTTGTCTCCACAATCAACGCTGATGGAAGCAGCAATTAAGAAATCAAAGGGAAAAATATACCAAACAAGACCTCTTTAAAGTGTTAATGAGTACATAGGTCACCTTGAGGACTAACGAGTGCTAGACCAAAGCCATGGTATTTTCAATCACCTTCTATTGTGTGGGAAAATAGGGCAGTGGATAAGGAAGATCATAGAGGAATTGATGCATTCGAATTATGTTGTTGGTGAATAATGTTGAAAGTACTGCCAGAACAACAAACACATCTATCTTTGAAGATGTGTATCCAGAATAGTTCTTAGAAGTGAAGATGGCAAAACTTGTCTCACGTACTTTGGACGTATTATCAGGAAAGACCTGGAAAAGGACATCATGCTTGATAAAGTAAAGGGTCAGTTGCAAGGAGGAAATCCCTCAACAATGTGCATTGACAGTGTGCTTAAGCAATAGGCTCAAACGTAACTATTGTAAAGACTGTACAGGAGTTTGGAGTGTTTCCCTCTGTTGGAGAGAAGATGATTATGAGTTCAAGCCAACTGTATTAGTCTAGGTACTTTAGAGAAACAGATCCAAAGCAACTCATATATAAGAGAGTTTTATGTAAAGAAAGTGTGCATCACGAAAACATCCCAACCCAATGCTGCCCAAGCCCACAAGTCCAATATTAACATATTAACCCAACACCAGTCTACAAAGTCCTCCACCTCACAAAACAGAGGCAATGATGCCGACTGCAGGAGGAAAGCTGAGTCAGTGAATGAATAAGCATCTCAGCACTAGCAGGGGTCACCACACGCCTGCTCCAGCACCCAGGGCTGCATCAGAATAGGTCCATGTGGCTTCTCCTTGGGGATGTCTTGTAGGAAGTCAATCTTGCAAGCTGAAGCAGGGAACTGCTAAGGCAGCTGCACCCTGGTGTGACCATCACAAAGCAAGAGACCTGAGAACTAGAAAGGCGAGGCTCACCACCCATTTATCCCTCCTCCTTTCCAATTAGCCCCACATGTGTTTATCAGCCAGGTTGGCACAATTAACTAACTCACCAACTTGATGCCACCTGTGTTAGGCTAGGTTGGCTAGAGGAACCAGACCAGTGGCATTCATATAGGTGCAAGAAAGAAATTTATATCAAGTCGTTGTTAGATGCTGGTTTCAACTCATAGTGATGCTATGCACAACCGAATGAAACACTGCCCTGTCCTGCTCCGTGCTCACAATTGTTCCTATGTGTTAGCCCATTGGCGAAACCACTATGTTGAGCCATCTTATTGAGGCCTTTCCTTGTTTCTTCCACCCTTCTGCGTTACCAAGCATGAAGTCACTTTCCAGGAACTGGTTTCTCCTGAGAACATGTATATCAAGAAAGGGGTTTTTGATCGAAAAACCAGACTACACAGCTGCAACCCCCAATTCAAGTCTGTGGAGGCCCTTCCTGAATCATGCAGGGATGTGAAGCTGGAAGGTTGTTTGACTAGTGATGGGAAAGCAAGAAGCTGTGAAGGTTGCAGGCTGGTGGAGGCAGAGCTGTGTGCATCCAAGGGAGGGACCATGGGAGACCAAGAGCAGCTCTCAGGGTCAGCTGGCTAAGTGGTGGTGGCTATATGCTCCAGAAGCCAGACACAGGATCCAAGCAAACAGGACGGAGAAGGGCAAGAGAGATTAGTTCTCTACAGTCTCATAACAAGACCACACGCCCAAGGAGATGTCATCAGGCTGTGATCTGTTTATGAGTTTGAACTTCACCCCTATCTTCCTATAGGTGCGGCCATGGTGACATAAAACCTAATCAGCATAGTACCTACAAACAACATTCCATTTCCCAGAGTTAAATAAGCCCTCGGCAGCGTTTCTAAACTATGAAGCAACGTATTTGTATTGCTAACAGAAATTTTATTTCTTCTGTTCATAAACATCTAGAGAAATGCTATTAATGGTAACATGTTTCTGATCCCTAACGTTTTCATACACACAAATGATTCAGATACACGTATTCAAGGTTCCCTGGGCATTGAGATTGGTGTGCACTCTACTGCCAACCTAAGGGTTGGTGATTTGAATCCACCCAGTCGCATGGCAGAAGAAAACGCCTAGCAATCTTCTTTCATGAAGGTTACAGCCAAGACGATCCTATGGAGCAGTTCTACATTGGGTTCATGTGAGTCAAAACACATTGCACGTAGAAGATGAAGGGAAAGCAGAAAGCGAAAACAAAAACAACCCACCAATAACACCCTCTCTGAAAAGCATAGTGGACGTGCCCTGCCCCCCTCCCACAAGGCACTAGTCATCGGAAGATACTTACTCCCAGGACTTGTGGCTCTCCCCTCAAGAAATCCAGCAGAGACCTATGGGGTCTGTAAGGAAATCCAGTTAGTACTGTTTCTTCTGGTTGTGCTGTAACGGCACGAGACCTTCTTTCGACCTGAGTTGATGTTGCCATGGTTCAATGGCAAAACCCTCTTAAGAGAATGTGTAGGTGATCATTACTGCCCCAGTCATGGTGTGCTTCTCCATCTCTGTCACATGGAGTCCTTAATAATGCAATCTTAGTGGTGACTGTGCCCAAGGCTAAGGGCACAGAATCATAGGTATTAAGTCATAAAGTCTTAGAATTCTTGGGCGTACACCGACTCCATCTTCCTGGTGAAGGGTCCAGTGGTCCAGCAGGGTTACCCTTTCCTCAAGTTGTTTTTAAGTGGTAGACACAGAAAGAAATCTCAATTCTTCATGTTCATTGGATAAAGATGAAGTCAAATGTATAGAATATTCACTATGTTCCAGGCCCCGTGGAAGGTGTGCTTGTTTGCTTGTTTAAACAGGTACTCACTGGTAGCCCTGCAGCACTTTCTTGGTGCTGAAAGGTTTAGATGCTTAAGATCACATAAGAAAGGACAGAGCTGGGGGTCTTTCCTCTAAATCTGAGTTGTTTCTATTCAACCATGCTTCCAGCATCCTTCAAAAATTTCCCACTTTTAGGTGATGGATTATTACCCACATTGCTTAAGCATATTCCTCAGCAACACAAAGTTGTTAAGAAGGTATACATCAGATATGGTTGGTCACTTTAATAGAGGGCATTTTAGCTTTCAGGACCACAAAACTAATTTTATTAAAGCTCACAATATTTTAAACTATACAAACAGACATTTAAATAACAGTATAGACCACGAAGAATGCCTTTTTGCTAGTCTGCTTGCCATTTTTAATCCTTTACGTCCCTGTATTTGTTAAGGAGCCCTGGGTGGTACAGTCAGTTAAGCACTAACTGTGACGTCAACAGCTTGAATCCGTCGGCCAGCTGAGGGAGAAAGATGAAAGATGAGATTATTTGATCCATAGAGACCTACAGTCTCTCCACAGGAAAGGGAGAGAGCAGACCTCACTCTGGCGCACTGATCCCTGAGGGCAACGTAGCTGCGTGGAGCAGCCCATTGACAGAGAGGACAGCAACCCCGGCCCCAGCTCGAGTCATGACGTCACCCTCTGTAGATATAACAGCGATACAGCGGGCAGTACTGAAGATACCATTCGGGGAAAGCGGCAGGCCTGTCCAGTTCACATGGGAACAAATTACGAAGGAGAGAGAGAGAGAGTAGGCCTAAGCTGACGCACTACTGCCCAAGCAGCTAGTTCACAGAACAGACTGCAGAGCTGGACCCACCTTGAGACATGACATCTCCCTAGATGGCAGTGGTATAGAGGTCAGCAATGAAGATACAGTGTGGAGGTACAGCCAGTCTGAGCTCCCCATGTGGGGGCACACCAAGAGGGCAGTGCAACAGATCAGCACTGGGAACAGTCTCAGAGGAATCCCGAAAGTAGACTCCTGACTCGGGGCATGAGCTGTCGGCAGGAATGGGTATCAGAAGTTCAAAACAAGTAATCCAACTGACATGATGGAACACAGGCCAGGTGGAGACTGAAAGCCCACCTGTGAAATAATGGGACAGTCTCTCACAGAAGGGCCATAAGGAAGGGATAGTATGTGGAGGGTGAGTAGAGCAATGGTGACACACACAACTATCCTCTAGTTCCTTAAAATTTCCTCTCCCACTTTTAGGGCCTCAGTGTTACCTCACTGATTTTGCTAAGCCTGTGTATGTACATTGGTTCAATCAAGATCTTTAAATGCACCAAAGTCAAGATGAATAAACCCCTCAGCAACAGTAAGGGGAGTGACGACTCTCTGAGAACATGGGAAGAGAGGGGAGCAATGGGGGGGAAGGGAGAACTGATGGCAAGGATGACTGCATAACCTCGCTCGAAGGGAATGAACATCAGAATTTGAGGTGATTGGATACATGAGATGGTGGAAGATATGGCAAAAAACCACTCAATAATAATAATAATAATACTTAGTAATATATTGAGGATTCAGGGGGGTGGTTGGGTGGGGGAGAGAGGGAATAAAGGGGAGCTGATATCAAAGAAAATGTATTGAAAATGATGGCAGCGATTATACAATTACCGTATATACTCAAGTATAAGCCAACCCGAATATCAGCTGAGGCGCCTAGTTTTACCACAAAAACTGCATTAAAAATGTGTTGAAAAACTCGGTTTATACACAAGTACATACGGTATGCTTGATCTAATTGAACTTT